AGCATAAGCTTTCGTGGGTGAATGCCCACTTCATCAGACGCAATTCATCTTGCGTCTGATGAAGTGGGTATTCACCCACGAAAGCTTATGCTCCAATACTTCTGTTAGTCTTAAAGGTGCCACAGGACCCTCTGTTCCTTTTTACAGATTCAGACTAACACGGCTACCCCTCTGATAATAAAAAAGGAGAGAGAGACATAAAAATAAAATAAACAGTAAAGGTTACAGATACAATGTAAAGGAAGCGGTGTGATAAATAAAAACACAACACAGAAATAACAATTCCACTTAACTCTATAACATACAATAATCTAACAATATAATCACTTACTTTATACTCTATGTTATATGCGTGATTGTTATATTGTTATAAACATGTAACAATACATCAATTAACTCTAACATCCAGTAAGTGCTGGCCTTACGGTTACTGAATGCGTAGGGGGAATCTCACTCAAACCATAGGCATCCAGCCTTATTTACATTTGAAACCCATATGCCCCAGGATGTTAAATAGAAAAATTGAAGACTTACAAAGGCTTTTATAAAATCCCTCTGACTCGTCACCGGAAAAGTCCTTCTGCTCTGTCAATTTTAGTGAGCGATGTTTGGGAGCGTTGTCTGATGATGGGTTATGGGCTGCTGGGTTGTCCACTGCTGCCTCCTCCTGAGGTAAAATATCTCCTCAGGTAAGAGAGACAGAAGCCCATTGGTTGTTGCTGTTGGCCAGGTGCCAGAAACAGTCATTGCCAAGGCAACCCTGGAACCCTAGGTGGGCTGCTGCTGTTGCTGTAACAGCCACTGGTTTTCAAGCAGCTCTTCCTTTGCTGGATTTCAATGTAGCTTCTCAGGTAGCTTTTCTTGCGCAGGTGTCATCTGGTAGGTGTCCGGCAGCGTTCCACTCTCTTGCTGGTCCCTATCCCTACAAAGTTTTAGCCTGCTGGTTGTGGCCTTTATATGCAATTCCAGCTCATTAGCTATTAATTTATTATCGTAATTCAGCCAATCATCTTTCAGGGATTTGCGTTTGTTAATTAATGTCACGTGTACCGACATGTGACGCTCAAGCTCAGCCAATCAGGTTCCAGAGATTAGCACATGGTAATTACCAATTAGTCCTCAAAAACACATTTGTAGACTGCAGTGACATCTGCTGGAGAATTTAAAAACAGCAATCTTCAAAGTCTCATTGACTGTGCACTAGCTTCATCATGGACATGCCAAAAGTGGCTAATTTTACTGCACCTGTGAGAGGCGGTGGATTTTATATTTTACCCAAAAAGGAAATCAGGTGCATGTATCTCAGTATTTCTATGATAGTAATTCTAAGAACATACTTAAATCCCATATAAGCACATGAGGACATAACCCTCTCCACTTAAAACACTGTATTTCAGTCATTTAAGAGATCTGTAGAAGTGGATAAATCTGTGAAAATTCCCTATAATTAAGGGTGAGAGAAGAGAAACTGGTATCCTGTAAACCAAAGCAGCTCAGTCAGTTCTAACCACATGACAGACCTGCACAACTTCTTGTGGTCTCCCCTGGAACCATTTCCTCCTGCTGCAGATGAAAAATGGCCTTCTATTATGTATGCCAAGTCTTGTGGTTACTGTCCAAAGAGGAGGAGGAGCAGAGTAAGTGCAGTGATGTAATTTGCACCAAACCACAGCCTTTTTGTGTAAAACGTTAAAGCAATTTTTTCTTAAAAATAAAAAACCCCAAAATATAGTTTTTGAAAAGTAGAACGAATCCACTGTTAGCTCCAGTTTTAAAATACATGAGCCAAATTTGTCCTTGTTGAAACTCCTTAAGCTTCAATGGAGTTACACCAAGGATGATTTTATCTCAATAACTGTTGCTGACTTGGAAAGATGAAGGAAATTTTCCTCTATTGAGACCGGCAATGCATGGTTGGAAAAGACATCAGTAATATAGTATCCAATTGAGCATGTCTTCAAGGTTCTCTCAAGCATTTCCATTTTAAACTGCTCAGGTGAAATTTTTAGAAATAAGTGCTTAAGGATAGTGTTTTCTCCATATTTAGACACCTCAACAAGTGGTCTGAGAAGTCCTGAGACCCCAGCAGCTCCCATTGATTTCAAACTATAGCTATAGGCCAAATAAGCTGTACCAGTCAAATCACAGCCTGTCGCGCTTTTGCCTGTCTACATTAGGGCTTTCACTTGGTGCAGTTCGACTGGTAGCTGGACAGAGATAGCTGAAATCCCTAATGTACACAAGGCCTCAGATGAAAGCTTAATTGACTTACAACTAACATAAGTCATTTTTGTTACTGGAAAAATGTTTTCATTTGTGCCTGGTTAGAGATGTTTAACCCAAGTTATTAAAAAAACTAAAATTTTGCATACTCCATATTTTAGATGACTCCTGATCTTTTTACACAAGAAAATACTTGAAGCTTCTAAGAGAGAGTGTTTTTGTTTGAATAATACTTATGGAAAATTCATAGTCCACAGTAGCATTAATTAGTCCTATACCATGGTTTTTATAAACAAATACATTCTGAGCCAATAGAATGTCACTAAAGATAACTAAACTCTGTTATCATTAGGTCAGATTTTTTATTATTAAACCAATTTTCAAAGTATCAAAATTCAGCTACTTAAAATTGTACAAGGTTACAATATTACATGAATTATTTGTTTCTTTTAAAGTGTGTACAATTGTTCAGCTTTTAGCAAAACTATAAAGCAAATGTAGTGCATGATTTTTGACAATTTGTGAGTAGTTAATGTTATGGTGCAATGAAATTGTCAGTTTTTAAAATGTTCACATTCCAGGTATTTACATTTGGACAAATGGATTTGTTGTCTTTATAAGAGCATGATGCAATGTACAATTTTTAAGAAATTTTCTAACATTTTGTTATTTGCTAATACAAGTGCCATACACTAAACATAACAGCGATAATTAATTACCAGAATATCTCTTTTTGAGGTGTGTATCAGTTTGCACAGGGAATATCATGGTCCTGGCACATTTTTAATAAATGCATTTTTTGCTTTTGTTCACTTAGGAGCGTTCCTCATTAACAACTGAGAAAGAAAGATTTGCCCATAAACATGATGAAATGAAAAATCTGGAAGATATCGTTAGAGCTATAAAACCAACTGTACTCATAGGTAATTATTTATTCAAATGATATATTTTAAGGAGTGAGACTTTGTTTTAGTTTGTATACACTATGAATATCGTATAAAGGGAAGATTATGAGCTCTTCTGAACAGATAATAAAGTATTTGGAATGTACCTAGCACATTGTGGATGCTACTGCAAATAAACATTAAATAATAAGAAGAATGTGGCAAACATATAACAGTGCTTTCATTCTAAAGCCTACATATTAGTGGTGGAATTATCCATGTTTTCTTGAACTTCTGTTGAGGAAGCACATCTTCTTCCCAATATTACTTCTGAATTTATGTACTGTACTGTACTATACTATAGTATAAATAACCTCAGAAGTTAGAATGAAGAAATTGGAGCATACATACATGTATGACAGTATAGTCACCTGCATTCTCCATCTGATTATATAGATTTCTGGTGTCATATTTGGGTTCTGATCCTGCAGTCTTTGTTTAGGCAAGACTGTCATTGACTTTAAAAGAACTGCAGGATCTTGATCTCAGTGAAGTAACTAGCTGAAAGGATGTTTCAATTCTCTATACAGCAGAGTTAAAACAGTTTTCTACTACCTGTTTCAGGAATGAAAAGGCAAATGTTCTTGAATATTTGCAGTATAAGTAACCTTTTAAAAATCTATCTATTCACTAAAACTGTTAATCGGTGTTAGAAAGTGTGAACATATCTTACTCTGTGCCAACTACCACAACATTAAAAAAATATTTTGAATTTAGAATACCTGTTGAATTACTGTCCTAACCTATATCTTGTAAGCCTTCAACAAAGAGGACTGAATTTTTGAAAGCATTTTCACTGTTTCACTTAGTGATTAATCAAATAAGTGGGACTTGGTTTTCTGAAACATTTTATTTTTTTCACTGATATAATAAAATGCTGCATAACTATTTCAAAATGCTGTTCCAATTAAAGTTGTGCAAATAACTGATTTTTTTTGTTTGCTGGCAATTATGAAAATTTGAAAAAAATTGTTTGGGGTTGAACCAAAACAGAAAGTTTTCAAAAATTTTGGCAAATTAAAAAAAAAAAAACATTTAGTTTCAACTAAATCAAAAAGTCTCATTTCAATATTGACTACTTTAAACGTTTCCAGTTGTTTTTTAATAAAATCAAAGGAGGTTTTGAAATGAAGTCATTCCAAACCAAAAAAATCAAAATTTTCATTTTGAAAATGTTGAAATTTTTTGCTTTTTTTTTTTAAAGGGATATTATTTTTACCATAATAATTTGGTGAAACTGACATGAATTCGCAACACGTTTCAGTTTTGTCAGATCTCCATTTTTCTCCAAAAAAGTTCTATTTGAAAAATTTTACCCAGTTCTAATCCCAATCTGTAAAATAAGATTTGTGAATTCACCCTTATTTTTCTTCAGGCCAATAAAGCAATAGACATGCAAAAGAGAGACACTATATCAACATCCAAGATTGAAACCCAAAATCACATAGTAGACAAAAAGTGTTTAGAGAAAATAAGGCTAAAAAAACAGTTAAATTGAAGATTAGAATAAAAGATCCATGATATGCATCCAGCTAAAAGTATCTGTATGTATTAAATTCTAACACGACATGCAGTAAGTATCAGTATATCATTACAATATATATCCCATTTACCATCTATTCTCTTCTTGACACACACCCAATCTCTCTGGTTGTCCAAGCAGTGACTAAAAGAGCCAGACAACAGCACCCTCATTCTACACCACCTGACAAGAAGGGGGAGCATTTGGACCTTTTGGGGCATAAGGTCTTTTCCTCATCTAGTCTCCAATTCAGGATTTCATACTATAAGGGATTACTAGCCAAACACGACTTCCTGAATTACAGAAAATATGAGGAATTTACTGATAGCCTCTCACAACGGGACTGGACTCGTTTTCAGGTGCTCATTGAGGAAGGGAAGCTGGTAGCCAGAACAGAACTCTAATTGGCAGTGGACGCAGCAGATACCTCCTCATGGCTATAGCTATAGTTATGCATAGGGAATCTTGGCTCCACTCCTCCAGTTTCCCTAGGGAAGCGCAAAACACTACTGAAGATCTTTCCTTCAATGAATCCCATCTTTTTAATCAAAAGACCAATGATGCACTATATACCCTGAAGGACTCTAGAGCCACCTTTTGCTCACTGGATATCTACACTCATGCCCTGAAGCATAAATTCAACTGTCCACCATCCACCCAATGCTACAGGTCCCCCCAATTCTATCCTCAGTGACCTTATGAGCCACCGAGGAAGTGAAAGAAAACCCAGAGATACTGCCTCCCCGGACCTCCTTCACAGGCTTTCACCTCACAGCTACAACCACCAACCAAGAGATATTTTTGAGACTACCTCAAGAGACACCAACCATCTTGCATACCACCTCACAACCCCCCTACCTCTTTGGGGGGTCATTTAGCACTCTTCCCCCAAACTTGGAGTGCAAAAACAATGGCCAAATGGGTGCTGAACATCATCCATCATGGCTACACAATTTAATTCATCACACTACCTCCTCCAAAAAAACCCTCCCTATCCCATCTCAGAGACCACTCTCATGATAGCATTTTCACCCAAGAGGTGAATTCCTTACGATAACAGGGCACGGTAGAATGTGTTCCCCGGAATACCAAGGAACATGATTCTATTTGACTTACTTCCTGATACCAAGAAGAAAGGTGGGTGGAGACCAATTCTCAATTTCTGTCATCTCAGTCGCTTCATCCACAAACTCAAGTTTCATATGGTCACGTTGTCAGCTATTATCCCATCTCTAGAAAAAGGCATGTGGTTTACAGCTCTTGATATGCAGAATGCTTATTTTTACATTGATGTCCATTCGGCCCACAGATACTTCCTAAGATTCATAATTGGAACCCACCATTTCCAGTATAGGGTTCCCCTTTCAGAACAGCCACCACTCCCATAGTCTTCACCAAAGTTTTCTCTGTCGTAGCAGTCTATATCAGCCGTTAGGGGCCCTCGTGTTTCTATATCTCAACAACTGGATTCTAGCTCCACGGTCCAGGCACAAAGCCCAAGCGTCAACCTCCATGTTACTCAGCCTTCTTTTGTCCCTTGGAGTCAGCATCAATGTCGAGAAATTGATCCTAGACTCCACACAATACCTGGACTCTATAGGGGTCGCAATCAGTTCAGTCACAGCATGGGCCTACCTGCTGATGGACAGATTCATCATCAACAATCCTTATGTTCCAACCAGCTAGGCCACGTAGCTTCATGTACATACGTGACTGCCTTTGCTGCCTCCAAACTTGGGCCCAGTCAGTTTACTTACCAAAACATCACACTATGGATAGTCCCCACCAGGGTGCTGTCTTCCCTTCAATGGTGCACAGACCCAACCCATGTATGCGTAGGAGTTCCCTTCCTGCCCTCCTCACTGGACAAGATGATCATTACCGACACATCTCTCGTAGACTAGGGAGTACACATGGACAATCACGTGACAGAGGGAACATGGTCTCCCCGAGAATCCAGAATGCACATCAATATCCTGGAACTATGAGCTGTAAGAAAGACATACCAATCCTTTCTCCCATTCATCTGTTCCCATCATGTTAGACAACACTCCTGCTGCTTTCTACATCAATGAACAGGGAGGAATGAAATTGACCGCTTTATGTGCACAAGCGGTCAATCTCTGGAATTGGTGCATCACTCACCAGATCCTCTTGTCCGCAGCCTATCATCCAGGGACACAGAATGTGCTCGCAAATTCGCTCAGCTGACATTTTGAGGTCAACCACAAATGGAACTTCATGATGCAGTAGTACACAACATCTTTACACAATGGAGGATTCCGACCAGAGAATTATTCGCTTTGCATATAAGAACATAGGAACGGCCATACTGGGTCAGACCAAAAGTCCATCTAGCCCAGCATCCTGTCTTCCAACAGTGGCCAGTGCCAGGTGCCCCAGAGGGAATGAACAGAACAGGTAATCATCAAGTGATCCATCCCGTGTCGCTCATTCCCAGCTTCTGGCAAACAGAGGCTAGGGACACCATCCCTGCCCATCCTGGCAAGTAGCCATTGATGGACCTATCCATGAATTTATCCAGTTCCTTTTTGAACCCAGTCTTAGTCTTCACTTCCACTTCCCACACTCCTTCTATGTGTGCTATGGATCTGCTATGGATCTATCTGATTCATGGTGGAGAAGGAACTGGAAATGCGATCTGTCTGCCCTGCCTTTTATCACCTCAGACGGAAGCACGAGGTGAGCCAGGGCATATGCATGCACCAACAGACACTACTTTCAAATTCTCCAACTCCAGGCGCATGGTGCGCCTGCGTAAGCCCTTCCGTGGAGTACAGATAGGGACCACACATCTTGAAGAATCTCCAGTTACAGGTAAGTAAGCTACTATTCAGAAACCTCCCAGTTTATTGCACATGGCAGTAGGACATAGAGTGCATCCTATTCTCTCTTCATTGAGATAATATGCATATCAAACAATATATGCCAGCTCTGTTCTATTCTATGTAAAAGTGAAGAGAGAAATTCACAAAGCTGGATTGTGGCTTGTAGCTGGATTCTGCCTTGCATTGAGGATGATGATACATGAGTCTCACTGCTGCAGATGGAGCTGCAGGAGCTAAAGTGCCTCAGGGCCAGTTAGAAAGGCAGTACTGCCAAGGTCTCAATGTGTGGATGAGATGATGGTGTTAGGAGGAGGGATTTAGGTTTATTAGAAACTGAGGAACCTTTTTGGAAAGGAGGAGCCTGCACAGGAAAGATGGACTCTACCTAAACAATAATGGAACCAGATTGCTGGTATGTAAAATTTAAAAGGTCGTAGAGGAGTTTTTAAACTAATGGCTGGGGGAAAGCTGACAGGTGTGGAGGAACACATGGTTCAAACAGAGACATCCTTTACAGAAAAAATTATTAAAGGGGATACTCTATATCCTAATAAAGGGGAGAGGATAGAAGTTGATAAAGTACAGGTAACTGAAGAGAAACAGACAAAAGAGTCCCATTCAGTTACATCACATGAAGGCAGACAACTAAATATTGACAAATTGTATAAGTGCTTGTATACAAATGCTAAAAGTCTATATACTAAGATGGGTGAACTTGATTGCCTGGTATTAAATGATATTGATTTAATAGCTATCAAGAAACTTGGTGGAATGATGATAATAAATGGGACATGGCAATACCAGGGTACAAAATACATACAAATGACAGAGTAGGTCATGCTGCTAGGGTAGTGGCACTATATTTGAAAGACAGCATAGACTCAAATACTGTAAAAGTCTTAAATGAATCAAATTGTATTACAGAATCTCTGTGAATAGAAATTCCATGCATGTATAATAAGTATAGCAGTAGAAATATAGTACCACCCACCTGAGGGAGATTAGAGCAGCTATAAAAACAGAAAACCAATCATAATGAGAGATTCCAACTATTCCCATGTTGACTGGTTACATATCACCTCTGGACCGATGCAGAGAGAAACTTTCTACACACCATTAATAACTGCTTCTTGGAGAAGCTAGCCCTCTAACCCACAACAGGAGAGGCAATTCTTGATTTAATCCTAAACACAGAATCTAGTCCAAGAGGTGAATATAGCTGAACCGTTCAATAATAGCAGCCATAATGTAATTAAATTTAACATCCTTCTAAGGGGGAAAATACCAAAGAAGCCCACCACGGTAGCATTTAATTTCAAAACGGGGAAGTACATAAAAATGAAGAAGCTAGTTAAATGGAAATTAAAAGGAATAGTCAAAGGAGTAAATGCATGAAATACCTGCAATCTGCATGGAAACTATTTAAAAACACCATAATAGAAGCTCAAATTAAATGTATACCCCAAATAATAAAAAACAGCAAGAGGGCCAAAAAAATGCCACCATGGCTAAACAATAGAGGAAAAGAGGCAGTTAGAGACAAGAAATCATCTTTTAAAAGTTTGTAAGTCAAATACTACTGAGGAAAGTAGAAAGAAGCATAAATTCTGGCAAGTCAAGTGCAAGTACAATTAGGCAGACCAAAAAAGAATTTGAAGAGCAACCAGCAAAAGACACGAAAACTAACAGCAAAAAAATTTTTTTTTGTTAAGTACATTTGAAGCAGGAAACCTACCAGTCAGTGTGGCCACAGGCCACTCAAATTGCTAAAGGAGCTCTCAAGGGAATACTAGGCCATCACAGAGAAGCTAAATGAATTATCTGAATAAGTTCACTGCAGAAGCTGTGAGGGACATTCTCACAAGTGAGCCATTCTTTTTAGGTGATAAATCTGAGGAACTGTCCCAGACTGAGGTGTCAATAGAGAAGGTTTTGGAATAAATTGAACAGTAATAAGTCACAAGGCCCAGATGGTATTCACCCAAAAGTACTGAAGGAGTTCAAATATGAAATTGCAGGACTACTCACTATGGTATGTAATCTATTGCTGAAATCCGCCTCTGTACTAGATGACAGGAGGATAGCTAATGTAACACTGATTTTCAAAAAGACTCCAGAGGCAATCGTGGCTATTACACGCTGGTATGCCTAACTTCAGTACCAGGCAAATTGGTTGAAACTATAGTAAAGAACAGAATTATCAGACACATAGATGAACAGAATATGTTGTGGAAGAGTCACCCTAGCTTTTGTAAAGGGAAATCATGCCTTACCAATCTGTTAGAATTCTTTGAGGGTGTCAACAAACATGGACAAAGGTGATCCAATGGATATAGTGTACTTGGACTTTCAGGAAGCCTTTGACAAAGTAAGTCCCTCACTAAAGGCTCTTAAGCAAAAGAAGCAATCATCAGATTAAGAGGGAAGGTCCTCTCATGGATAAGTAACTGGTTAAAAGACAGGAAACAAAGGGCAGCGATCGATCCAGTGGGGGTTGATTCTAGATGCAATAAATCGACCCCTGAATGCTCTCCCGTCGAATCTTGTACTCCACTTCCGCGAGAGGCGGAGTCAACAGGGGAGCGGCAGCAGTCGACTCACGGCAGTGAAAACACCACGGTAAGTCAATCTAAGTACATCGGCTTCAGCTACGTTATTCACGTAGCTGAAGTTGCATAACTTAGATTGACCCCTACCCCCAGTGTAGACCAGGCCAAAGGGTAGGAAAAAAACAATCACTTTTCACAGTGGAGAGAGGTAAATAGCGGGGTTCCTCCAAGGATCTGTACTCTGACCTGTGCTGTTCAACATATGCATAAATAATCTGGAAAAAGGGGTAAAACAAAGGAGCAAAGTTACAAAATTACTGTAGATAGTTAAATCCAAAGCAGATTGCGAAGAGTTACAAAAATTAAATGTAGATAAATGCAACTGTACGCACAAAATGATGATGTCTAAATTAGCTGTTACGACTCAAGAAAGAGATCTTGGAGTCATTGTGGATAACTATCTGATAATTTCTGCTCCATGTGCAGCAGCAGTGAAAAAAAGCTAACAGAATGTTAGGAATCATTAGGAAAGGGATAGATAAAAAGACAGAAAATAGCATAATGTCACTATATAAATTCATGGTATGCCTATACCTTGAATACTGCATGCAGTTCTCGTCACCCTATCTCAAAAAAGATATATTAGAATTGGAAAAGGTTCAGAGAAGGGCAAAAAAATGATTAAGGGTATGGAACTGCTTCCATATGAGGAGAGATTAAAAAGATGGGGACTTTTCATCTTAGAAAAGAGATGACTAAGGAGGGAATATGATAAAGGTCTATAAAATCATGAATGCTGTAGAGAAAGAGAATAGGGGAGTATTATTTACCACATAACACAAGAATCAGGGGTCACCCAAAAAAATTGATAGGTAGCATGTTTAAAACAAACATAAGGAAGTACTTCTGCACACAACACACAGTCTATCTGTGAAACTCGTTACCAGGGGCTGTTGTGAAAGCCAAAAGTGTAACTGGGTTAAAAAAAGAATTAGGTAAGTTCATGGAGGAGAGTCCATTAATGACTATTAGCCAAGATGGTCAGGGATGCAACCCCATGCTCTGTGTCCCTAAACCTCTGATTGCCAGAGTGGGAGCGAACAACAGGGGATGGATCATTTGATAATTACCCTGTTCTGTTCATTCCCTCTGAAGTGTCTGGCACCAGCCACCATCAGAAGACAGAATACTAGGTTAGGTGGACCATTGGTCTGACCCAGTATGTCCTGTTCCTATGTTGTTGAGCTCCTGGAGCTCCCTGGCATGCAAAGGAAATGTAGCCCTTGCATTTTCCCCAAAGGTTGTCTGAAGTAGTCTTGCTACTGTGGAGGACCAGGGCATGGCCTTTCCAAACCCCAGCTGTCCAATTGGGCTGGTTAATGCCACACAGCCCTTACACTAAATTGTGTAGAAAGTGTGTGTGATTGTGCTTGATTTCTGCTCAAGGTTGCAATGAGGGGAGAAGGGGAGAAGCACCCTATCAAAAATATACATGGCACTTCATTGGTTTACCTCATCAAAGCATTAGACAAACATTAGCTAACTAGTATTCTTCAAGTGCTTCTCTAAATTAGTTCTGCTTCTGGTGTGCAGGCGCCCCATGACCTGGAAATCATAACGTGTTAGCCAGCAGCATCTGTTGGTCCTACTTGCTCCGTTGATGCCCTTGAGCCCTCCCCCTTGAATGTATAAAGGAGAAAGAACAACCAACCTACTCTCAGTTCCTTTGAATCATTCCTGGGTGTGAGATGGACCCAGCTTGCAACATCCATCTTTTTTTTCTAGTTGCATATTTAATTAGGTTTTTAAAAATACTTTTAGTTATTTATATTTAATAATTAGGTTTTAGCTTTGTTTAGTTTATTTTCTGCCCTGTATAGGAGAGGTGTGTGTGGGGGGAGGTCTAGCATTATTTCATGACTAAAAGCCCTGGGGTTTCAATTTTGAGAGTAACTCCAGCTACTGAACTGGTAAGTAACAGGTAAGTAACTTTCCTATTGTTAGCAATTGCAGACATAGAGTCCTGAGGTTATGCACATGTAAAAGTTACTCCTTTGTTTTTATCACGGAAGTAGGGAAAAAATCAACTAAATGTTAATAGAAAAGTTGTAGTAAAAGAAAATGTTATTGTATTGTTACTCCTTTTCAAAATGACATTCATTAATATCTTGAACAAACTGCATTCCCTACATTTTCTGTCATGTGTTTCTCTTCTTTTATTTAGGAGTTGCAGCTATTGGTGGTGCATTTACAAAACAGATTCTCAAAGATATGGCTTCCTTTAACAAGCAGCCTATCATTTTTGCCCTAAGTAACCCAACCAGCAAAGCGGAGTGCTCTGCAGAGCAGTGCTACCAGATGACTGAGGTAATGGAAGGTTAATGTATATAGTCACTAAATGTAGTGTTAGAGAAAGAAAAACAAACAGCTATCAACAATTGCTTTGTTATATTTTAAAATTGTATTTGTTTTAGGTGAATGTAGAAGCTCTAGATTAGAAATACCAACTAGTTAATTCTCTATGTGGAAACAGTTAAATGTGTAACATCACAAATCTGATAATTCCATTGAAGCAAAACAAAACACCAAACAAACAAAATGATCTCTGAATAGCTTGATTTTAATTTGCATTTCAGAAATACTAGGCAGAAAAATATTTCACCAATTTTTAATATTAATACATTTCATGGGGCTATGAAACAGCCATATTTTTATTCTAAATTAAACAGCAAAGAAATGAGAGGAGCCTTATTGAAGTGTTTTAGTGCTTTTAGCTAACTGTTCCTGTGTACTGCAGTTAGCGACAGAGAATGTGCACTCTATATTCCATCTGCAAGAATCTCCCCACCAAGTTAGGATAGAGCAGCATTTAGTAGGTTGGCAATGCATTATAGCCAGCCTTTAGATGCTTGTCTAATACTCTCTGTCCTTCATTACTATCCTTAACATATCAGTAGTTGTCAATTATGAGACTGTTAGTAACATATGTTATGTTTGATTTAGTTCCACCTTCTATGTGTCATTTAAATGCACAGTGACCTGTTTTTCCTTAAAGATATGTTTTGTATTTTTAAATATTCAGTAAGATAGACATGCCTTCTTGCAGGAAGCAAAATACTAGAAATCATTCTGTATTGAGAATGGGGCCCCAAGATCATTGACCTCTGTTACTCAGATTTCCGGTAACTAAAGACACAGGTGAAAAGTACAGAGAACTGGTTATGTGCGAATAAAATTAAGAACAAAGAACTACAGTTTGTTTTTTGTTCATTTTTTTTAAAGTCCTATGCTTCTGGAGTGAGTGTTAATAACCACAGCAGCAGTGTGAGTAACTGATGCATCTGCCTTTTGCATTGAATCATGGGTTCTGTATTGGATTTCTCCTCTTGTATAAGGAAGCTTGTACTGTCATACAAACAAAAATGTAGCATGTCCCGTTCCTCTACTGAAAAGTACATATGACAGTGCAATGCAAGAGTCAAACAGGAATGCATACAATATGAACGGTTGATTATAATGGGCAGCTATATCCGGTAACCAGAGCTAAAGATATACCGGAATATCTCTCACCAAAACATATAAAAAACAGTCCATGATAATACTTCATGACACCAGGCTAAACAAAATATCCTTTTGAAGAACTGAATAGGAACATTGGTGTGTTTTAAAATACACATTTTCAGTTTCCTAAAATAAACTAACATTTTGTGCTACAAGGAGTCTCTCAAAACTATTGAACAGTAAAAATTAATAATTTTAGCAATTTTAAAGGGGGCTGGACAAAGGACCTCTTGTAGGGCTGAGCATAAGCATCCTACCCCTACTTGACCTTACTATTTAAAGCCTAAAGTACTCTCATCTCAGCAAGGCAAGGCTCAGAACTATAGGTAGTTCAAGTAGAGCCTCTGGAATTTCATCTATCTCATTATTCTGAATTTAGAATTTTGTTTCTTACTATAGATCGGGGTCGGCAACCTTTCAGAAGTGATGTGCTGAGTTTTCATTTATTCACTCTAATTTAAGGTTTCGCGTGCCAGTGATACATTTTAACATTTTTATAAGGTCTCTTTCTATAAGGCTATAATATATAACTAAACTATTGTTGTATGTAAAGTAAATAAGGGTTTTAAAATGTTTCAGAAGCTTCATTTAAAATTAAATTAAAATGCAGAGCCCCCCAGACCAGTGGCCAGGACCCAGGCAGTGTGAGTGTCACTGAAAATCAGCTCGCATGCCGCCTTTTGCATGCGTGCTATAGGTTGCCTAACCCTGCTATAGATCATCAGCTACATGGAGAAAGCACTAATAAGATAGGGCTCACAATTGCCTCCAAGACAACTCCTCAGACATCCACAAAAGGCACCGGAGATTGGGTGTGTCACCAGTGCTCTCAGCCTTTGCTATGACTGAATTTCATTCCTTTGCAAAGGGTCAGCACAAGGACTATACACTACTTAAATCCTCCTTAAGTCCTATTTTGAAGATTTAATTGGTTCATATGGTTTGTGCTGGCCCTCTGCACAGGGTGAACTTCAGTTTAACAGAAAAGTGAGACACCTAAAGTCACCTCAAATCTAAAGCTTACATTTGGCAGCATGACACTAATTGAATTTTACAAATATAGACGTTTCCTCCCATATTTCCTGATATTTACACATCTGTATTTCCCATGATGATAAAGGAATTGATCATTAACACTGGCTTACACTTTCCCTTATCTTTTCTCTAAATCACATTCATGGCTTCTGAATAAATGTATATAATCTGTTGCTTCCTAATAAGCCAGTATCTACTCCATAGCATAAATCAGCCACACAGGATACTCTGTAGATACAATGATCAGCATTCTGTCATCCAGGACATCTGTCAGGTCAAATAAATCTAATATCCAATGAAGAGTGCCAAGAAGATTAGTTAAGATATAAGTGAAATATTGTAATATTTAAATAGTTATGTAAAACCTTCATGAGAACAAGTTTCCTCTCAAACAAACTAGTAACACTTTCAAAATATATTTTGTTTTAGGGGCGTGGCATTTTTGCAAGTGGAAGCCCCTTTGACCCTGTGACGCTTCCAAGTGGGCGCACTTTCTATCCTGGACAGGGTAACAATGCATATGTGTTTCCTGGAGTTGCCCTTGGTGTTGTTTCATGTGGATTGAGATACATAAGTGAAGAAATTTTTCTCACTACTGCTGAGGTGGGTACACTATTCAAAATAATTTTTAAAAACCTTTAAAATCAGTGATTATGTAATAAACACTAAAATAAATATCCAAATGCTATCTTTCAAATCAGAAAACAATATTTCCTTTTAACATTTTAGCTCTTTATTTGTAAGGTAATATAAGTTTTCTACTGCTATAAATACATTTATATATTTTAAGCAGTTATTTTGATAAAGAAGTTAATATTAGTTGGGTTCAGATGTCCAGTATGAAATTCACTTCATCATTTAATATTTCGCACTCTGAAATCTGGATACAAGATGATACTATCTAGACCAGGGGTTCTCAAACTGGGGGTTGGGACCCCTCAGGGGGTCACAAGGTTATTACATGGGTGGGTCGCGAGCTGTCGGCCTCCACCCCAAACCCCACTTTGCCTCCAGCATTTATAATGGTGTTTAAATATATAAAAACGTGTTTTTAATTTATAAGGGGGATCACACTTGCTATGTGAAAGGGGTCACCAGTACAAAAGTTTGAGAACCACTGATCTAGACCTTTAATCACATTTGAGGAGTTGATCCAAGAGCAAGCTGGAACAAAAGGTTTAATTTCTAAGATGTATACAATTTTGACTGAAAAAGATATTGATAAGTAAACAACCCCGATGAAAGGATGTGAGAGGGACCCAGACAAAGAATTTGATCTGAATGAGTGGGTCTCTGTGTGGGAAAGGGGATATGTATCTTCAATTTGTGTCTGTCATAAAGCAAATTGTTATAAATTACTGTTTAGATGGCATTTAACTCAAGTTAAAAACAGTCATATTTTTGCTACTAGGAAGGCGCTCTGTTGGAGTGGTTGTGAGGAAAGGTGAACATACTTGCAGATGTGGTGATTGTGGAATTAGACAGTTTTGGGAAGAAATTTTTAGCAATTCATCTTTATGGCCAAATAGTACCTTCCTAGAGATCCCCTGACCTGCTTACTTAATGGTCCAGTAAAGGATCTACATTTTAAACAGAATGACAAATTAATTTTTTATTGTTAGCAGCAAGACTGTGTATTTCACATTATTGGAAAAATGTGACTTCTCCTCCTATGGAATTTAGGTATAAATTGTTCTTGCAATAGAAAAGCTTTCATGCCAAGTACATACTATGATGTTTTGGAGTCCACCCAGACCAGTAAGGGGTTCTGACACCACCAGCCCTGTAGGTTTAGAGGACTTTAGGCACCTTTTTGCTATGCAGCTGTGGTTCAATTCTCTGACACCAGTAGCCTGCCCACAAACATAAGGCCTCACCAACCAAGTTACTCTTTCTAGGGTGACACCAAAAGCCGCCCCCCCTCCAGTCATAGGTCTCCCGAAATACATCGTCCTCACATTCTTAATTACCAGACACTTGGAACATTCCCCTCTGGTTTTTTACCCATGGAGGCAGGAAACCAGCTCACTTTGGCATATATACTCCATGCAGTTTGCACACCAGAGATCAGCTTGGGATAAAAATAAACAAAAAGTTTATATATAAATTTATTTAAAAACTTATTTATAAAAAATAACCCACAGGTTCAAAAATGAAATAGTAAGGGAAAACAAACATATACACATTATACAGAAAATAAACATACAGACATCACCTCTGGCTTTACTTTCATATTAGCTAAAATCACTTTTCTAAGGGATTATTTTCTAAGAGTTATCTATTGCTTTAAAGCAATTCTCCAGCATGCCCCCCTAGCTGTCAGAGGTATCTGTCCCCCAAGTTCTGATTGGCCTTCAGTTCAAACCCTTTCCATTTTAAAAGGGTTTGCATTTTTTTCAGTCACTATAGATATTCAGAGTGGGGGAGACTCCCTCCTTTCTTGGGTTCCAAAGATGAATTTTTCTTTTCAGTTTCAACTGTTCTTGTTTGCTTGGATGGTTCCATGTTGGTTTTTTTCTGGGCTGGACAATGGCTAGGTGCTCAAAGCCAGACTTGTCTGGTTGGAGAGGTAGCTTCTTCCTGCCTGATTCCTTTACCACCCTGTTGTGAAGTGATGCTGAAGTTGCACCACAGTTACCATTACATTTTATATATATACACACACACGTATCTTGTGTACATATCTCATAATGATTATTAAGTTCAGTGCATTATAAAATTTCATAAAAGATCTTGATATCCTCTTACAGGAAAACAACATAGTATTCAATTGGTTGGTTTAATTGCTTTTATTTTTAGGTTTAAACCTTCTGTTCTCCCCCTGGGGTGTCTGGACCCTGATTGTCACATGTACACAAGAGAAACACCAAAAAGAGCCACCACATTTATTTGACCAACAAAATTGGCAGAATTTTAAAATGTGCGCAGAATTTTATTTTTTTGGTGCAGATTTTTAAATTTTTTTGGCGCTGAATGCCCTCAGGAGTATGTGCATCTATCTATCTATCTAATGCTATACAGAGAGACAACCATAGGGAGATACTGATATAAGTCTGGACTAAAGGAAACTCTACCAAATACCTTATCCATATTTGGATGTGTTTATTATTGCCTTCATTATTATTTGAATTCTTTCAAGAGTATCTTTATCTTGTTAGAGTCTTTAGCCCAAGGGTTTTTAGCATTTTTTGTAGTGGAGTTCTCTTGTGAGAAATTGGTGGAAGAGTTCCCTCATAATGTTTTTCCTTGTGCCATGCTCTGCTACAGTTACCACCATCTTTTTTTCTTTCCATTTTCTCTCCTGACCTTTTCTGTCTCTGTTCGTTTCTCTTATGATTATCTTTTATTCTCTGTTGTATTTTACTTTCTAATTTTTGTTCTTTTTTGCTGTCTTGGTGTGAACTTTCCCTCCCTGCTCTCCACTTAACAGAAGACTATATGTGACTGGGAGGTTTGGGAAGGTCCACCATTGGTGGTGCTAAGAGGTCAGTCATACATAACTGAGAGTCATGGGAGCAAAGGAGAAAAGTTTGGGACTATGAGTTGCTGTCGGAGCCTCCTACCTGCACATGTGAGCTTGCCCTGTGACCATCTGCATTAGCTGCCACTGTGGGAACAGGGACAAAGAGCCTCTCATTGCATTACCCATAGTCATATTAGCAAATTTAGAGTAGGAAGGAGCAGGTTGAGCATTATGGAACTTTCTCCACCCTTACTGTTGTCCTCTCTTCCTATTGACTTTTCTGGAGCTTAGGTGGCTCCTCTCTCGGCATTCTGGCTTCTTATGTTCCCTTCCTTAAGCACCCAAGTCTCCCCAAGCCATTTATGGGGAGTCTGGGCACCTAACTCAAAACTGAGGATTCCACTAGGTAGCAGGGCATGGAAGGGGTTAGGCATTGCAACAACTAAAGTACCTTTGTGTATTTAGCCCTCACTGCTATGACCCCATCACTCCAGTCCCTGAATCTCTCCACTGGTGTCTTTTCATATTAATTTCAGCCTCCTTATCCTTCATAATCCTATCCACAACTTTGCTATTATTTGCATTTATACTGTCTTGACTTATTACATTCCTATGTAACCTCTGCTACTATGTTTGGAATAGTCTCGCCCATCTTCCATGTACAAAGCAACACTTCCTCTTCACTTTCAAATACCTTCTTTCTTAGTCTTCCTATATTGCTGTCCAGCCACTAATGTTTCTATTCTTTCTTGCACGTGAATGCTTGTCTCATATATTGTATTTTTCTTAATTAGATTAAAAACTCCTCAGGGTATGGACCCAGTATTTCTACATGTTTGTAAAGTCTGGTGCACATTTATGGCACACGTTACATAAATAGTCAAACCTTTTGCACCAGAAATCAGTTTTCCCAAACAACTAATCATCTATAGAGGCACCAAACAAGACACACACAGACAAAATATGAAGAGACAAAAGAGACAAAATATGAAAAGATTCAAAAACTAGAGCTCAAAACTCCATAAACCTCTTAGCATCACATTAGTAGGTAACACCCAACGAATGAACCATACACTACAAGTGTGTTGCCGGCACAGAGTGCCCGAGGACAGCAACAGCGGGGTCCGTTGCCCGGTGTGCTTCGCACCAATGAACACACCAGGGTGGAGAAGCAATCAAAGTTTATTTGAGATCTCAAAGTGGTGCAAGGAGACAGGCACGTCTCAAATCAAGCACACCAACATAAGCAGCCTTTGTCTTTTATACAGTTTGTAACTAAGCCTTTCCCTTTTTCCCCGTCCTTTCTCACCCACCCTCCTCCATTCTCCCTCTGGCTACATTACACGAACTTGGCTGGGAGGCTTGTTCTCATTGTTTCTTTCTGCAAGTAATCTTGTCCTTTAGTTAGAAGCATGTAGGTTTCCCTTATCACTACTGCTTCCCAGCTGCTGGCCTGTGAGGTTAGTAAAGTTTAACATGCAGGGGCTTTGATTCACTTTGGCCTAGAGCGGGGGGGCTTCATCGACTCTCGGGTCTTCCAACCTCCCGAGTTACCTAGGGTGATGCCTACTAACACCAACAAGTGCATACCAAAGCATTCAGTGAAAAATAGACTCCTTCTGTTCACAGCTCCATGAGGAATGAAATATTTATAGATATAAGGCTAAAGCACAGCTGATGAAGAGCCAGTGAAAGAGACAAAGAAGAAATGGCAAATAGAGAAAATAATTTTCCAAATTCATAGATTCGAAGGCCAGAAGGGACCATTATGATCATCTAGTCTGACCTCCACTATAACACAAGCCACAGAACTTCCCCAGAACAATTCCTAGAGCATATCTTTTAGAATAATATCCAATCTTGATTTAAAAATTGCCACCACAATCCTTGATAAATTGTTCCAGTGCCTAATGTGTGCACTTATGACTCCTTATTTTTTGCTTTCCATAGAAATCAAAAATGTAACCTCTGCAGTTTTCTATGAAACTTAGTTTAGGGTTTCAGCTCTCTTAAGATTTCCTTCTCCATTACTCCTCCTGCTTAGTTTCAGTGATTGTTTGGAATTTGTGACTTCACAATATTTTCCATGACAGACCGTGTATGTAACACGTACACACTTTGCTTCATGATCCGTCAGAAAAGAGTATGATTTGTGATTGAAAAACTCTTATTCAAACCAAGTATGTTTAATTATTGGCAACAGCTAAAATCAGACATTTAAAAAGAAAAGATTAATTTAAATTATTTTCTTTTTCAATCTGCAGCCATTTTTCTCAGATTGTGGACTCATAAATTAAAATCATATTGAACCTGATCAATACTTGGAAGGGAGACCTCCAAGAAAAAATTAGGTTCTGAAAGAAATGAAACTAGTGAATTAGTAGGTGGCATCCTTTCTTTTGAGTCAGTATTCAGGCAATGCCCCAGAATGCAATTAGGGTTAGAAGACCGTTTTGCTGTAATCTAGTCTTTCAGATTAGATTTCACATTACAACCCTGATCATTGAAAGTTATTAAAGATCCCGTGGAACTTTCAAAAAAATAAGCAGGTGTTATCCCTTATGTACTGGGTAAACTCCAATGTATTATTATTGCTACAAGTATTTACAGGGTTTTACTGTGCTTTCTACGTACACCTTACACCAAGTAGAATCTAACAGCTTCACAAAATGTGGAGCACAGTTCAAATATCCACAGCAGCTGACTAAGTGTCTTTGAGGACACCTAAGACAGTGGGTAGCATCCAGAAGATTTAAAAATAAGTGAATCCAGCAAATATTATGGAAAACCTAGATGAAAAGAAGCTACATTTCATCCTGATTGTGAGGCTCAGACACATTCCCAACAGCTCCAGAGATTAGAATACCCAGCTCCCAACTCCTCCAAGCTTTTCTTCTTCCTCCTGCTGAAGTTGTCTTGATGGAGCAAAGGCAGGAAAGTGGGTTCAAACAACTGGGACCCAGGCTATTCAGCACCTTGAATTTCATCTGCAAGATAACTAGAAGCAAATGTAGTATGTTGCTCCTTTGGTCTACAATACTTACTGGTGGGCAGCTGCATGCTGTACCAGCTGGAGTTTCCAACACTAGTTTTGTTAAGCAAGATATATTCTGGCATCTTTAAAAAGTGCCATCAGCTTGCCCTCTCGCTGAGGGACATTCACAGTTTCCATCAGTAAAATTAGTAAAAGGCCAGACTGTTTCCATTGGCTTTAACCATCCAAGAAGGGCAATGATCCATCTCATAGGACTTTGGATAATTACATCCTGCCTGCTCAAATCCTCCCCTGTAATTTCAGTTGGATATGGTATTCTTCACTTACTGTCCTAAACTGCTGCGTGTTGTTAAACAGTTGCCTCATTTCTTTCTAGAAGTAGCTTCATTTTGGTTTGGGTTAAGTGATTCCCATATATAGTTTGTAAAGTGTTTTGGAATACTGCTGGATGAAAGGTTCTATATACATGAATTGAAACATGTCTTAAGTGGCAGTCCAAAAGACCAGCAAAAACTGGTTGCCGACAGAGGCAGTTTTTACTAGCAGTCAAACAACATTGTTCTGGAAACTGGGCTGATACAGTACTTTTAAATCTCTTAAAACAGGGTCTGCCTCCTGAAAGTTGTTTTTAGTGCAGATTTTGCTGTATAAGTTATTATGCAGTATTCAAGTCCCTCATGAAATTTTACATGAGCAAATATCTTTACCCTATATAGTCAGTCTTGGTAGCTCAGAAGTTTATACACAGCCATTCATGATACTTATGGGGATAGAATACTCACAGTTGGTCTCATACTGCAGGCACTAATTGTGCTGGAAACAGCAGCATGTTTGAATCTCGAGTGAGTGTGGGAGGAAGCTCACCACTCTGTATTGAACTGTGTGAACAAGCAAGAGCTAGGAGTAGCATGGATGGGCTACTGAGGGAACCCTCACCAAAAAAGGTCACAAATCATTGAGGGTAAGAGGTGTTAAAAGTTTCCATTGAAGTCCTGAGGGAAGGGAAGAAAAGGGGTATAAATCTTCCATAAAGGACTAAAATCACAGTATACCTTGCTTGTCATGTAGGTTTTGAAATAATTATGATATTAAAAGCTGAAAAACAATTGTGAATGGAAGTGCCAAGCAAGCTCCAGATTTTAAAAGACTCCCAAAACATAACTGTTAAATGAAAAGACCTTCTTAGCATGTAATGTAGGCTTATCTGTAAAAGAGAGCTATTGAAAATATGAAGCCAGGCTGCATGCCTGCAACTATTGACCTCTTGCTTTGCCACCTCTTCAATTAATTCTGATAGAAGGAACAGTTCACTTATTGTAAGTACCTCAGATTCTGTTTTCAGGTGTTCTGCCCTTCATATCAAGTAAAGTAGAATGTAACTGATTTTGGATGATAAAGCTAAGGTACTGTGAGCTATAATGCCTCCTAATTGCAGGCAATTTCTCTGCAATGACAAGGAACATTACCTGTTCCTCTAAACTTTACCAAGCACAACAAAAATGTTCAGAATTATAAACTAATGAAATACTCTTGGCGCTATAAAGCCTACAGTTAGTTCACTTCAGAGATAATCCCGTTAAACCTTTTCATTAAAGAAAATATGTTCCCAAATAGCCAAGATGTCTGCACCTGGTTGATACCATGTGCTCAGTCTTGGATGACATCCATTTAAATGCTGGACTATTTCCCTTTCTATTAAAAACATAAATTAATTGAAAATGCTTTTACTTAGTCATAGTACACTTGAAGAATGTGAAATTTCCTTTGAAAATATTAGTTTGTGGTTGTGTTTATACACTGTTTCAAATGCCTTGTTATAGAAGTACAGCACAGAAACTCTTTTGGATTCTGTGTGAGCTAAGGTTGTCACTGGTCTCATCCAGAATAGTGTCCAGTTTTTATTCTCCAACTTGCTTCCTGTAGTCTTCTGCTACAAAACAAAACATTTCACTTCACATTTTCTCTGCAATGCTTTAAGCTAACAGCAGCTAATTTCTTCAAGCCTTGTGTCCCCAGCAAAATCCTAACCTGTTAAATCCAAGAATAAATCAAATTAGAAACAACAGATCTCACTTATTCTTCTGACAAATATAAATATATGTCCTGTTTTATCAAAGAGCTTGTTTACCCTTGGGGGGTGAGGGGTGGGGAGCAAACAACCACTAGTTGTTAAGGGGGAAACCAAAATAAAATAAAATAAAACAGGATTATATTTTCTATTCCTAATTATTGTGGCTCCCTCTAGTGGATTTTTAGTGGCCAATACGCTTTTCAAGATCAATTTAAAATGCTGATAGTTTGATAGCAATAGTTTGCATGCATGTGAATGTACTGGGTATATAACCTGCCATTGTCTTGGCCAGCATTCCCTCTTCCAACAGAATTTAAAATAAGGCTGTGTGTAAATGACAGTTAAGCACGATTCCTCGATTTACTTAAAGTTACTATAATAACGTCACCCCTTTTTAGCCTGAGTGGTTAGCCAATATTTAGGGTCTTGGAGGTTGTTTCCACTAGGGCTATGTCTACACTACTGCAGTAAGTCTACCTAGCTACGCAACTCCAACTACATGAATAACGTAGCTGGAGTCTATGCACCTTAGGTCGAGTTACTGCAGGGTCTACACTGCGGGGCGTCGACGGGAGAAACTCTCCCGTTGACTTACCTTACTCTCTCATCTGGAGAACGATCTGCTGTCGATTTGGTGGGTCTTCACTAGACCCACTAAATCGACCGCCGGTGGATCAATCTCAGAGCCTCGATCCCAGCTGTAGTGTAGACATAGCCTAAAAGAAAAAACTGATGTTAGATATTTCTTTGATGCAATCTTGTTTATTTACAAAGAATGTATACAAAATCCTGTTTCCCTGGACACAGTAGGAATCAAACAACAGGAGAAAGCTTCTTTGCTCACTGTTCCTCCAAGTCACTTTCTAGCCAGCACTCAGCCTAAAGAACATTCACTCTGGGCTTTCTGCTTCTCTTGTCTCCTTGGAAAGCTGCTTTCTCTGTCTTCTTCTGACTCACTGACACACACAGCTCCACCAAACAATACTCCACCCTCAGCATTTGCACTCAGACCTCATGGTTTAGTGCCATGCCATGATGGTCTGTAATATGGATAGTGGCTTCTGTTGTGTCAGCTATCTCTAAACAAAGGGGCATTTAACTACTCCCTCATTTAGCTTGAATAGAAGGCAGTGATCATGCTCAGTGGCTGCAGTGAAATTTTTAACTGCCCATAGATCAAAGAGACACTACCTGTGGGCTACCCAATCTACAGCATAACAACAACATTTGAAAGCCTAATGTTATCTAAAATCAAATTAAATTCAATGCTATGACTCAAGACAAACAATAAAGCTCTAGAAAGGCAAGGTGAATGAAGTAATATATTTTATTACACCAACTTCTGTTGGGGAAAGAGATAAGCTTTTGAGCTACCCAGAGCTCTTCTTCAGGTCTGGGAAAGGTACGCAGAGTAAATACAAGGTGGAACAGATTGTTTAGCATAACTAGTTAACACAGACATATTCTAACAGACCATTCAAGGTGAAGTGGCCTGTTAACATCCCTGCAGTCATAGGTCAAAAGAGGGAGATTAGTGGGTTACAGATTGTTGTAATAAGCCCTAAATCCAGTGTCTTTATTCAGACCGTGTTTTTTTAGTGCCTGGTTAGGGTTGCCAATTTTGGTTGGAGGTATTCTTGGAGGTTTCATCACATGACATAATCTTTAATTAAAGATTAATCTTTAATTCCTGAGGACTCCCAGGAAAATCCTGGAGGGTTGGGAACCCTATAACTTGGCAAAGTTATGAATTTAAGCAACCAGGCTCATCTTTTGAAAGTGTTGTGCTGGTTTCCTTTGAGGACAAGGATTGAGAAGTCAGATATGGAGTGATCGTTTTGTGAAAAGTGTTCAACCATGAGTGATATGGTATTTATCTCTTCTATTATTTTTCTGTGTGACTTCATTCGAGAGCATAGTGATTGTCTCATTTCACCCACATACTTGTTATGGGGCATTTAGTGCACTGGGATAGGTACACCGCATGTGTAGGACCCATGGTTTTTGAAAGATGTGTTGTGGGAGGTATTGATCATTGTAGCAGTGAAGATATGTCTGCATGTTTTGCATCTATTGTTGTGCCAGGTTCAGGTGCTACTTTGAGTTGCTGGGTCTTGGTCTGTGGAGAGCTCGCCTCTGTTGATGAGGTTGGGGGGTTGTTTGAAGGCAAGAAGAGGGTGTTCAGGAAAGATTTATTTCAAGGTGTGGTCTCATACAGTATAGGTTACAGCTGTTTAATGATACCCATATGGGGCTTCCAGTGTGGAGTGATAGGTGACAACTAGGGGTGTGCAGTCGGAGGGTTTTTATCCCCTTGTATTGAAGCAGGTTCTCTTGGGGTATTTGCATGGCCTGTTCCATGATGTGATTTACTTCTCTGGTGGAGTGTCCTTGTTTGGTGAAGGCAGTTTTAAATGTGTTAAGGTCTGTATCCCAGATTTTCTCCTCAGAGCATATTCTGTGGTTTCTGAGGGCCTGGCTGTAGATAACAGATTTCTTGGTATGTTTGGGGTAGTTACTGGATCTGTGGAGGTAGTGTGATGATCCATGAGATTCTTGTATATAATTGTCTGTAGGGTTCCATTGTTGAAGCTGATTGTAGTGTCCAGGAAGTTGATGCTAGTGTGGAGGGTTCTAGTGTTAAATAAAGCTCTAGGTTGCTTTCTTTTTCGGGTATGTGTCCATGTGGATTCCACTGTAGGTATGCATGTGCCCCAAGCATGTGAATTTGGCATCTTCGCATTGCAATGTCCAGCAGGGCAGGGTATGCACCCTTAGCCTCCTCATGCTTCAGTGTGAGGATATAAAGGGTGAAGCAGCCCTGACCCTCCCTCAGTTCCCTCTTACCACCCATGCCAGCAAGACAGAATCTGGACTGTTTCTAACCTGCTTCTGATTTTCAGAATTCTTCTCCAGTGAAAACCATTTTTCTTCATTTCTTCATTATATTAATTTATTTGTTTGATTTTTGTTGCATGCTCCCCCACTCTACCCTTCAAAAAAGCAGTAGTCAGGACAGACCTGGGGAGACCCTGTGTGTACAGTAGGTCAAGGCACTTTGCACTAACTGCTAGCTGTGGCAGTTTCAAAACCTACCAGGTTCAATCCCGTCCTTCCTGCAATGGACTAATACCTATCATAGATGAACACAGCAATGCCTGTTCTGTCTCGTAGAAGCACATCTTCTAGACAAGCATGCTATCTACTGCTCCTTTTCAGCATTCACCTAGAAATCCCGAGAGACAAGGCTCAAAGTACACCATAGGAGCAATCCATGAGGGTAGCCACAGATCCAGGAATGGAGACATCCCCTGTCTCTGGGGAGTGTCCCACTGACTGTGAACCACACGCCCAGTACCAGCAGGGAAAGGAAGATGAAGAGGGTGCACACTACCTGAGCACTGAAGGCCTCAGTGCCGACTACGGCACCAGCTCCAGGGAAAAGAAACTCAGCACTGTCTTTTGGAGCAAAAAGGCTTGCCTGCACTGAATGCAAATGCAACTGAGAATGGGCAACATATCCATCCCCCAGAGAGGACTCTGGACCGAGAAAGAAGCTCTCAAAATCTTCAACACCAATGAAGGATAGCACCAAGATTCCAGTAGCAACACCTAGGTTAAGGAAGACAGACTCACCTGTGCCAACATTGACACCAAGACCAGGGCTGGCCCTGGACCCAGAGATCCCAATTTCCTGATACTGAGAACTCTTAGACGAGCCTCCTTCTCTGCTCTCCTTGGCACTGGACCCAGAGACAGAATCCTTTCCAGTAGTGAGATATGCCTTTGACAAGCCCACCCCACTCCCCGCTCTTCTCAGCACCGGATACGGCACTAGCACAGGCTTTGATACAGGGCCCACTACCAATGGAGCCAAAGCCACATCCACTGCCACTGCCACAGAGAGATTTCTCCTCCCATCATCAGGCAATTCTTTTTCCCCGACTTGAGCAGGGAATCATCATCTGAAAGGTGTGGATAATGCCTGCAAGGATATTTGGAAGGCATGCGGTACTGAATCCCAGTTCAGGACTGGCAATAGATAAGCCACCCATGATTGGGCTGGTACAAACACAACCTGCCGACATGGCAGTACTGGCCCTAGCAAGGCCTGCCCTCCAACAAACTTTGGCGTGGAACTCCTTCACATGTCTGGATTAAAAGAAAGAGGTCTCAGTCACCACCAGCATTGCTGGCTAGAACTTCCTCACCAGAACAGGAGGGATCTTTTGAGAACCTGGTGGAAGCAGCAAGGGAGACACTCCAGCTTCCTTCTGCTCTGAAGTAACTGGCAGTAAGCAGTAACCTTTTCAGAACAATGGGCATGCAGGGTATCAGCTGCATCAGTCCAACAGAGATTGGAGTATAGCTTTCCAAAATTTTGCATCTGATCTGGCAGCCAAGTCCAGTGTGTAATGCTTGAAGTCACATGAGCAGCTTGCTCCATGAAGCAGCTTTGCAGATCTCAGATATTGGTATGTTATGGAAGCCTGCTGAGGATGCCATTTGATCTCTGGTGGAGTGAACTCTAATAGTGAGAGAGGTACATACACTGTGTTATCCATTTTACCAGTCAGCTATAACCACAAATAGACGTGGGGCCATTCTGAAAGATTTGGTCCTGTCAAAATAACACTTAAGAGCCCTGGACATATCCAAGCTCTGAAGCTTCTTCTCTGGCATGTGGTTTTGGAAAGAACACAGGTAGGTTGATGGATTGATTCTAATGAAATTCTGAAACCACCTTGGTAAGGAATTTGGCTTAAGGTCTCAGTACCACATAGTCTCAGTGAAATGCTGCATATGGAGGAAGATAACAAAGAAGAAAACAAAAGCACAGGAATAACTAAAAGTCAATACACATTTAAAGAAAATATGAAAATACATGCATATATTTAACGGCAACTTTATTTTCTACAAAATATTAGATTTAAGAACTGTGAACAGCAGTGCTATGCAGAGAACTTTGTATCTGGCAAAATCAGAAAGTGTACTTACTATGAAAGTTGCTTTTGAACTGATTTACTGTAAAGTAGGCTTGTGGGTTTAAAATAAATCTACCTTCTGCTTTATTTCTAGGTGATAGCTCAACAGGTTTCAAAGAAACATTTAGAGGAGGGTCGTCTATACCCTCCATTAGTCACTATTCGAGATGTGTCACTGAAAATTGCTGTGAAGGTAAGTGATTTCAGTTCATTCTGCAGCCACTCTCCACTACCGATGCACTTTGCATGTGTTAAAATTAGATTAGCTGAAGTAAAATATTTTCAGGATTCATTAGTCATTTTAAATCAATCTTGATATGAAGCAAGCAGTGTTTTTTAAAATTTCAAATCCTTACAGTTCAGGCATAGGAGTGAAGGAGCTGAAAATATGATATACTCAGTGTTTAATTACAGGTGACTACAGTAGAATGATGTTTCTACTGCTTATTCTGTACCACCTGGCTAGTTGCTTGTGCTGTTCCTAGCACCTGATCCATGAAGTTTGGAACCTATACTGTCAATCCTGTAGTTTTTCTATCCTGTAGTCTTTCAGGAGAATAAATGCCTTCTCACATGCCAACCTCCTCCTTCCTTTGGCCTGCTGCTGCTTGATTTTGTTCCAATTCTCCTTATCTTGACCCATCAGAACAAATAGTTGTTTTGAGAAGTCAAATATATGTTTTTCATGCATGGATTTTGCCAAATTGACTGCACTATGTCAGTAGCTTATAAAGTGCCCAAAGTAATTTGATAACCCATAGATTTGGCAGCACTGAAAAACAACAGACTTAGCCCCATTTCTACATTCCCTGTGGCTTTTTGTCTCCCATGAGTTCTCAGTTTTATTTCTGAGTGGGTTATCATGTTATAGATAATCCCATTTACTGAACAGCCTTTTGGAAGAGTGGTGTTGTCAACAGCTCCCTATCTGTGGAATGGTTCCCTTTGATTCATTTGGTAACAGGATCCCAGGTACATATAAAAAGCCTTGTTTTAGTTCACTTCTTTTCAGGCTGATAATAGCTGTGTTCCATAGATGTCAAAACATCTCTAAACAGACTTCTCAGGCTAAAATCAGACTGCCTTTGTGCTTGGTAAATCCTTTCAGAAAGTGCTGGAAACTTTCCTCCTCTATTCACTGTGACAGAATTACTTTTTTTAACTTCGGTGCAAAATTTAATGGAAAAAAATGGAAAATTTGTAACTTGATTGATTCATTTCTGGTCTGATCTCTCTCCTGGTTGGAGATATGCTCTAGGAATTATTTTGGGGAAGTTCTTTGGCTTGTTTTATACAGGAAACCAGACCGTCCCTTCTGGCCTTCGAATCTATGAGCACTTGGGCTGTGCCTGTTTTCCAGCGAATACTGGAAGCAGTTCAGGCTTGTATACAGGGCTCCAGGGCTTGGCCACACCTTTCTGCCTTCGAGCTAGATGAACGCTTCCAAAGATATATTGAAATACTGAATTTCCATTAGGAGAGAAATTTAAACTTTAACAGTAATGACTTATTCAATGGTGATAATGATATGCATGGACCCAAAGAGGAGCTCTTGTGGAAATACCCAAAGAATTTCAGAGGGGGCAGGTTGAGGTCAAGGTCAATCCCTGAAAGCAAATTACAAGGTAACTTTTCCATTTGGGATCATAGCCTCTCCCCAAGACTAAGACATTTGTAATATAGGGAGGCAGTGATAAGAAGGAGAAAGAAGATGGTTCGCCCTATTTCTAGGGAAGGAGGTTTAATCTGTTTGGGGAGTAAAGAATACTACATCTTGGGGGTCGGAGGAAGAGAGAGAGAGAGCATGTGCACAACACACAGATTTTTTTCAGCCAGCTGATGCCCTTTCTGTTCAAGAGGCCACTGTGGAAAATAAGTGGGTTCAGATTTCTTCTGAATTCAGTTTTTCTGTAGCCACATATGCTTTGGTGATGCACAAGGCATTTCGTTTTCTTTTTATTTGAAATTTCCCAGGAATTTAATGAGGCTTATAACAAAAATTGAAGAACGGGTGAAAATTGTGGGGGGGGGAGAAAAGACGGTTACTCACCGTTGTAACTGTTGTTCTTCGAGATGTGTTGCTCATATCCATTCCATTAGGTGTGTGCGCGCCGCGTGCACGATCGTCGGAAGATTTTTACCCTAGCAACACCGGCGGGTCGGCTGTGGAGCCCCCTAGAGTGGCGCCTTCATGGCGCTGAATATATACCCCAGCCGACCCGGCTCCCCCTCAGTTCCTTCTTGCCGGCTACTCCGACAGTGGGGACGGGGGGCGGGTTTGGAATGGATATGAGCA